ATAAAATGCACATAATTCCACATTTCTCACCACATCACATTACAACTCGTCATGTACATCATAATACATATATTATTCAAATATGGATAATCACCAAGCATGTTTCATCATACACACGTCTATAATCCTCAATTCAACAATTCAAACACATATGCATACTTCATACAACAATTACATCTATGCCATGTGGAACATATAAGACTCATCAATTCTCATCATTACTCATCCGAAATTATGGATACATCACTTATATCCTACCAGGAACAACGCATAGTCATTCTACCCCGGTAATCATTTCACTAGGAACGACACATAGTCATTCTATCCTAGTGATTACTTCACTAGGAACGATATCGTATCATTCTACCCTAGTGAGTACGACCATAACACTATACCACACTAGGAACAACATCATGTCATTCTACCCCAGTGAGTACGAGTCTTACACATATATATAATTTCACCGTTCCACATAAACATACGCATATATTGTTTATTCACCCATTCACAATTACACATTCACAACTCTTAAATCAACAATTAATACTCCTAAGCATACTTTCGCACAATAATCACGTATTCACAATTCTCAATTACACAAATCATGCACATATCTATATTTTCAATTAATCCACATAAACATACACAATATGTTTATTTCATCACCAAATCACATAAACATCTACATTCATGTTTATTCACCAATGCATCATATAAAGATGATAAATGCAACTCATAGAGACCGACTCACGACTCTATGCAGATGCAAATGCAGTATCGACTCATTCAGCAGGTTCAATTGAAGAACCAAATGTAACCATCGCTTGTTACCGAAGTAACTCCCCGTCGGGCCTACGATGTTCACCCATTGCTCACACCCCACATGGGCACACAATGTTTATGGATTGCTCACACCCCACACGGACACACAATCTGATTTCTCACACTCCATAAGGGCACACAATCGTTCTGTAGATTCTACGCAGAATCAATTATAAACCATCGCATCATACGAGGTTTCTGCAGATCCTACTCGGGATCAAATATAAACCATCGCTCACACTCCACAAGGGCACACGAGGCTTCTGCAGATCCTACAGGGGATCACACACAAGAATGAAACCATGATGCTTCACATGCAAAACGACTCAATACACTCTTGAAATGCATACATGTTCACAAACGTACTCATGCATCCCTCACATCATACAAGTACACACAATTATGCACATTCTTATCAATCTCATCGTACATTTCTATTCAATTCAAACAAATGCACAAAATTGCCAAACGGCCATATTTTATTAAGCAATGCACACATTTTCACAATTATGTTCTCATGCATTATTCACATATAATCTCATACAATCAATATGAATTCACCACATCGCGCCAAACGGCAACGAACACAATCACATCCATTATGCACTCTTAATTAATTTAAACAATGCATATATTGTCAAAAGACCTCATTTCATAATCAATTATACAATCTAGGATTCACGCCTCACGGCTACCCACAACATATCCTATCACAATAGTACACAAACTATTCATTTCAGATAAGAATTAAACATAATCGAACCAAGCAATCGACCCTTGGATGGAAACCACAGGAACTAGAAAAAATGTTGTCACATTCGCCACCCTTCGCCTGACGAAGCCATTGGCGAATGCTCGCTATCTCGTTCGCCTGGCGAACTTGCTGGCGAACATAGTCAGTAGCTACTGGAAGTGTTCGCTACCATTCGCTACCACACTCGCCTAGCGAACCTTCGCCACTCCCCTTCGCCTGGAGAACTTGCCAGCGAAGGCTAACTTTCGCTTCTGACTTGGTTCGCTGCCCACTCGCTGGGCTTCGCCTAGCGAAGCTTCGCTATCGCTCGCCTGGCAAATGCTGGCGAACCTGCGAAATCAAAAATCCCTAATTGTTCCAAAATTACCAAATCCTCACAAAACCGACCGATTCAATTCCAATCAATCCCAGTAGCCTTAGCCCAACATTACCTGACTAAACTACTCCATTTATTCCCGATTCTAACCGTTAAAACGTCATTTCTACCGATTAAACTCATTATGTCCTAAGATGGAAAATGAGTAAAACTCCAACAAATCCACACACACACATACATGATCATAAACATTGGTAGAATAACAACATTTCACACCCTTACCTTGATTAGTCGAAGCTAGAAGCGGATCTTGAGCTTTCCAAGCTTTTCTTCCCACTTTCTCCTCTTTTCTTTCCTTTTTCTCTCCTCCTTCTTTCTTTCTCTTCTTTTTCCTTCTATCTTTTTCCCATCCTTTTCCTTTTCTCTCTATTTCCTTTTATATGTCTTTTTATTTTCTTTCCATCATAATTCTTTTCTCAAAATACCTACCAATTCATTTTCTCATAAAATATCTCATCTTATCATTAATAAGGAATACCTCAAATATCCTCCAAATTAATTTCCCAAAACTCTATTAATGATAAAATAGCATAACGTATTGCCACAACAATAAATGAAATAATGATCAACCAATAATTCAAATAATTACCCATTAAAAAAAATTGGGCTGTTACAGTTAGGATGGTTCGTTGCGTCCGACCATCTGATTAAGGATGATTTAATGTGACAAAATTCAAATTTGTCCCCATCTCATGATGAAATGCTTTCCAAAACCTTGCAGTGAACTTGGGGTCTCGATCAGATATGATACTCGATGGAGCACCGTGCAGTCAGACAATCTCTGCAATGAATATCCTTTCTAGGTGGATGAATTTATAAGTAATATTTACGGGTAAGAATGAGTTGATTTGGTTGGTCTATCCACAATAACCCATATCGAGTCATGTTCACCAAGAGCACCGGGTAGACCTATAATGAAATTCATTGAAATGCTTTCCCACTTCCACTCATGAATATTCAAGGATTGCATCATACCATTTGGTCTTTGATGTTTAATCTTCACCTGTTGACAAATCAAACATTGTGATACATATTCGACAATGTCTTTCTTCATGTCGGGCCACCAATAGTTCTTCTTCAAATCTTTATACATTTTTAGAAACCTGTATGAATGGTAAATTCACTCTAATGTTCCTCTTCTAAGACCGTTCTTCTTAACACTGAATCGTTCGATATACATATCCTCTTATTAAACATGATAACTTCATCCATGGCTCGGATGAAGTCAGGATAATCAACCCTAGATTGCAACTCATCATCGAACATCTAACTTTGTCGAACCTTTTCCCTCATATCATATGTGATACTTAAGTTTCTAATTAAAATTTATGCCCGAGTCCATGTAAATTACAGGTCAAGCAATTTATGCTATAATATCATCATTTCAGAGATGTGCGTTTCTTTCTAACTTAGTGCATATGTTACTTTATTAGATTTTCCTATATGGTATTTTATCTCGAAATTATAATCCTTTAGATACTCCATCCACATTCGTTGCTTAATATTCATTTCCTTTTGGTCAAATAAACATTTCAGACTCTTATGATCACTAAACAACTCAAAGTGCACACCATACAAGTAATGCCGCCACACCTTGAATGTAAATATGAATGCGGCTAGCTTAAGATCACCTGTTGGATAATTTTCTTCATGCGTCTTCAGCTACCGAGAGGCATAAGAGCATGACTATTTTGCATTAGGGCACCTCATACCCTTTCTTTGAATCAGATATAACACCTCACAAGGTTGATTAGGACCGGGAATTATCAAAACATGAGCAGTCAAATTCTCTTTCAACTTGAGAAAAATTCGCTCACAGATAGAATTCCAACATATCAAAACTTCCTTTCGAGTGAGTTTGGTCATTGACAATGCTAACTAAGAAAATCCTTTGATGAACCTCCAATAATATCCAACTAGCCCTAAGAAGCTTCTAACCTCCGATGCATTCTTAGGTCTTTCCCAATTAATCACAGTTTTCACTTTCAAAGGGTCCACCACCATCTCTTTGAGATGACACGACCAATAAACTTCACCCATGACATCCAAAGCTCCCACTTACTCAGTTTTACAAAGAGTTACTTTTCCTGCAAAATCGATAACACAATCCTAAAATACTCCCCGTGCTCTTGTGAAGTACGAGAGAAAATCATAACATCGTCTATAAAAATTACCACAAATTTATCTAGATAAAGCTGGAAAACATTATTCCTAAAGTCCTTAAAAACAACAAGAGCATTGATCACTTTAAAAAACATCACAAAAAATTCATAATCACTATACAAATCCTAAATAAAGTCTTCATTGTGTCCGAGATTTTCCTAAGATTGAACAATAGAAAAATATATATGAATCGTGGAAGATTAAACACTAAATGAGCATGGGTAATGGTAAACTCATTTTATGTACCACTTCTAGGATCGTTTAAAATAAATAAGGCTTAATTGCAATTTTGGTCCTTCTATTTTTATTTTTTTTTAAGTTTTGATCCCCCTATTTTAAAATCCGAAATTTTTGACCCTTTATTTTCAATTTTTTAAAGTTTTGTCCCTCTATTTTAAAATTTGGAATTTTTGTCCCTCTATTTTCATTTTTTGTGAGTTTTGGTCCCCTATTAAATTTGTTCTCGATTGAAAAGAGAGATTAAAGTTCAAAATAAAACTTAAAATAGGGGATCGGAACTAAAAAAAATGAAAATAAAAGGAGCAAAATTTTAAATTTTAAAATAAGAAGACTAAAACTCAAAAAAAAAATAAAAATAGATAAACAAAAATTCCAGATTTTAAAATAAAAGAATAAAAACTTAAAAAAAATAAAAATAAAAATAAAAATAAAGAGATCAAAATTTAAATTACAATTAAACCAATAAATAAATAATACTACTTGATTTTATCATCACATGAAATAAAAAATATTAAGTAATCCTCATCATTGTTAACTTGAAAGCCCTAGCTTTTAACTTCTCGCTCCACCGTCCACCTCCACCGCTGTCGTTACAGTCATCAGTGTCGAACATAGTTACTTCCATTCCGACCAATTCATCTCAAAATGGTTAAACCAACTAAACACGATACCGAAAGCATTGCAGTACCTGAATCGGTGATGGATTCCGTCAACACCACTCTCTCTAACCTTCACGAATTACGTTCACATTTTGAACAATTCTTACCACTCATGAACCCCCAAATTCTCTCACAAATTCCACCTCTTCAACGTGCTCACTCTCTCTTCCTCCTCTCCAAAATCACTTCCACCCTCCTCGCATGTAAGTGTAACCATTTTCCCTTAATCTTAATCATCTAATTAATCTAATTGCGGCCGCAATTTCAAGTATTGTTATTTTGTTACTTAATTTTGTAATTCTCGTTTTTTCAGTGAAATTGAGGTGTACTGGAGTTCAACCTGATAATCACTCTGTCAAATCGGAGCTTGTGAGTTATTATTCTTACTCTGCTAATTCTGTTTTTTTTTACTTTACCCTAATTTCTTACACTGTTTTGTTGTTGTTGTCGTTGTTCTATTCCCAGAATAGATTAGACATTTACCAGGACAAACTTGAACGTCTGTTAGATTTGAATAAAGGTATTTCTTTTCTGATTAATTAATGCTGTTTTATTGAATCTTCAAGTTAATTTTACAATATGATGATTATTTGAATTGGAAACACATCTTCTTCGAGCTATGACGCGTAGAAATCAGACATGATACTGACGTGACACGTAGATACCGATAATAATTTTGATAATTGAAGCAATTGAATGTAAGTATATAGGTTAGTATTGTGTGAGACATCGATGCCTGTTAGATAACAGGCATACCTTCAATATGAGGGGTCGGTGCTGCGTAAAAGTGATCCACATTTTCATTAGATTAACAAAATTAATTACATTTTTTTGATTTTGTCTGTTAGATTTGAATAAATGTATTTCTTTTCTGATTAATTAATGCTGTTTTATTGAATCTTCAAGTTAATTTTACAATATGATGATTATTTGAATTGGAAACACATCTTCTTCGAGCTATGACGCGTAGAAATCAGATATGATACTGACGTGACACGTAGATACCGATAATAATTTTGATAATTGAAGCAATTGAATGTAAGTATATAGGTTAGTATTGTGCGAGACATCGATGCGTGTTAGATAACAGGCATACCTTCAATATGAGGGGTCGGTGCTGCGTAAAAGTGATCCACATTTTCATTAGATTAACAAAATTAATTACATTTTTTTGATTTTGTCTATTAGATTTGAATAAAGGTATTTCTTTTCTGATTAATTAATGCTGTTTTATTGAATCTTCAAGTTAATTTTACAATATGATGATTATTTGAATTGGAAACACATCTTCTTCGAGCTATGACGCGTAGAAATCAGACATGATACTGACGTGACACGTAGATACCGATAATAATTTTGATAATTGAAGCAATTGAATGTAAGTATATAGGTTAGTATTGTGCGAGACATCGATGCGTGTTAGATAACAGGCATACCTTCAATATGAGGGGTTGTTGCTGCGTAAAAGTGATCCACATTTTCATTAGATTAACAAAATTAATTACATTTTATTGATTTTGTTTTTGTTTGTGAAGCTCCACTGCGACCGTCTACTACCTTGAATTATCGAGCAGCTACACGCTTCATCGGACACTCTCTGCCTGACCTTACCCCAGGTGGGTAATGATTTTGGTTTATTACTTCTAAGGGTCGGTCATTCAGCATCTATGTGTCTTCCATTTTGATTATATGTATGTAATGAAGTGGTTATTTCATGCAGAGCAAAGGCAGAAAATGAGGAACTTGAGTAGAGGGGAGGGACAGAAGAGGAAACATGGGGAGCGGGCTGGTCAAAAGAGGAAGTATCAATCCTCTGAAAGGCCATATGTTCAAGCTGCTGCCAAGGAGTTTCTAGAGAAAGCAACCAGGGAGCTTCTCGGCGGTAATAATGGGGGTATTAAGGGGCCGCTTCGAATTGACAACATGTCAGAAGACGGTGATGATCAAGTTGACAACTTTCCTGAAGATAATGACGATAAACTACTTGTGCCCTGATTTTCATGAACTCTGGTAGAGTTTCTTTCTTATAACAACCTTATCTGCTTTATATTTAGAGTGCCATGAATTTTTGCCCGATCAAACTTATAATAAATTATGTTCCGATAATGCATTTTAGGGGATCTCCAAATTCTCAATTAGATATATATGGAGTATGGACCCAATATATTCTAATTTGAGATCTTATCTAGGATTGGGAGGGGTGGCTAGGGGATTGAAGCATGAATTGTAAGATAATCACAATATTAAACTATACTTAAAATGGAAAATATAATCTAAAAAGATATTCAATACAGTTTATTTTATTTAAAGGTACGGAAATTGCTTAATTAATTAACTAACTTAGAAGATTAAGAATAAATATAAAAAACGGTTTTTTCCACCTCTGGAAAAGATAACATGACATAAGTTTCACAAATGCCTCCCCCATATTTCCCCATTTTCAGTTTTTTTAAATACATGCAACTCTGCCCCTTCCCCTATTCCTTCCGACTCTTGTAAAATGCGGAGGCCAGAGTGAGAGGGACGTTACAGAGAAGAGAGGGAGGTTGCAGCAGCGCAGGTCAACAAGGGGAGATCACATAGAAGGAACAACAGGGCTTTCTTAAACGGGGCTGCGGATCTGCCATGGATTGTTGTGGATGATCAATCCTACATTTTAAGATCTTGTCCGTGATCCCAACCTGATCCTACAGACAGCTCTGCAGTCTTTCTCACGAGTCAGCATGCTTGAGACTTTAAAACTCAATAGTATTTTATCGTACGACCAGGTAGACATTAGATAGGATTTTGTATTGCATTTGATGATTAAAGTGACTACATTCAGAAGCATTTTACTAAATTCTACAGCTTAGTGTTATTTGGTAATCAGCATTAGAGCCACGGAATTCAGAAAATCCAAAATTGTTCAAGTATAAGTGTTGTACTATAATCTAATGCTGATACGCCCACGGAACTGCTAGATACATATCCAAGAAAATATTGATTGACGTGTCTGGGATACAACTCCATAAAACTCGTCTTGAAGATCCTTGTGCAGCCTTGTTCTCCATCATGTTATTAGGGGAGTACTTAACTATATCATTCTCATCTCTCTCATTCTTATTATCTTCCCCAAAAAAACATAGCTTTCCATCAAGCATCCCCAAAAAAACATAGCTTTCCATCAAGCAACAGCTCTGCCATTCAAAACATCCAGCGAATGTCCCACAACCACATTTCTCCTTCCTTATATCCTTGTGCAGCCTTGTTCTCCATCATGTTATTAGGGGAGTACTTATCTATTCATTCTTTGAGAATATAAGGAAGGAGAAATGTGGTTGTGGGACATTCGTTGGATGTTTTGAATGGCAGAGCTGTTGCTTGATGGAAAGCTATGTTTTTTTGGGGAGATAATAAGAATGAGAGAGATGAGAATGATATAGTTAATAATAGTGAACAATTGACTAGAATCAATACTTTTAAATAGAACCGATCATCACGTATAACCTATTCTTTTGTGAAGACTGTGTTTCTGAGGATAACATACTAAGTGGCACTTACCATCTAAAGTGCATCATTCAGTTTAATTGAGCCACAGTTGAATTCTGAACTAGACTTTTTTATGACATTTTTCTGTATGGAAGCATTAATGTTGATGTGGATGTGAAATCATTGACTGAAGAATGTTGAGGGATAAAAACAGCTCAGGTAGACCCATCTTATGGACTTGAGCACATATTCTAAATGTTGGAAGAGAGTAAAAAACAATCAGTAAAGAAGTCTCTTCAAATAAAAAAATGTTTCAAGCTCATTTTCAAGCTTCAAATTGGATGAACACTCCAACTAAGTTATGTTAATATGATTGCATAAATTGTTTTCCTACAGCTTGGTTTCTTGGTTTTTTACTTGCAGTTTTTAATAAGTAAATTGTTGCTTGGTTACCATTGTAATTTCACTTCAGTTTAATAAGTAAAATTTCTCAAAAAAAATTTCTGAAATTTGGAATTTTAATTTTTGCAGTGTCAGCAGCTAAACCATGTTCGAGGAGCTTAGAGTTTTGCTTCCTTTCCCATGCTTTTTGGGATGACTTTGTATTTAAACGTGACAACCTATTTAAGGTTGGATTTTGGTTGATTATTCAGTGTTCTGTTTTTTTTTTGCTTTAATTTGTGTAGTTCTGGATGTCAATGTAAAAAAACTTTTAACATGTACGGAACTGTATGTGGAATTCTAAAGAATGATGCTGCGATTCTAAAGAATGATTCTAAAGAATCATGTACGGAACTGTATGGAATTCTAAAGAATGAATTTTGACGAAGATATTTAGAGCCAGAACATGAGTATTAGAACGTATTTCCACCCTCAGAACACGAATAAAATATAAGATATTTATTTATAAGTTCAGAAAAAATAAATATAATGAATAGCTACATAACAAAAAGACTAATAAGATGATGCTGCGATTCACATGAGAAAACCAACAGAAATAGTAGCCAACAGTCCCAGAACAAAGCCAGTTTGCAAAACTTGTGCACTGCTAGTTGGAGCAACAGCTGGACCTTCTTCTAACTCTGCTGAAGAAGGTGCTGAAGAAGGTGCAGGAGAAGGTGCTGGGGAAACTGCACTGTATCTTCTCCTTGGAGTAATAACCACCACATGGAGCTTTTGTCCCTTCTCACAATGACCCTTTGCTCCACTGATGAAGTAAAATGGTCCAGGACGGTCTAGCTTCACCTTAGTGTTCCCATCATTGTACTCTTGAATGGGGTTTGAGCTGTTGCAATTAGCATAATCTTGTTTGTTTACTTGCAAAACTGAGTCTTTCCCACCATCATATTTCCAGACTGTAAAACAAACAGGTCAGTGATGAAAATTATGATGGTAAAAATGGGTTTTGAAATTGAATGAATAATGGAGAAGAGAATTAGGAAATTACCAAGATGATCGCCGACATTGAAACGAGATTTCTCAGCCCATTTATTGAGTGAGTCTGCTTCAGAAGATGGAATCTTCCATGAGTTTACGTTGCCTCCAACCAGTAGTTCTTTAGCTGCAGAGAAGCCAAAGAGAAAGAACAGGAACAGTAATGCAGCAGAAACAGTTCTTGAGGAAGCAGCCATAGTGATTTTTCTGAAAGCTGAATGTGGTGAGTAAGAGTTAGTTTAGAAGCAAAGAGGGGTGGTTTGCATTGATGGGATTGCTTGGGGTATTGTATGTTATTTATAAATGGTGATAATGAAGAGGGTAGAAACTAGCCGTTGAGAGTTGGAAGACAGCACAGCGTTTGGGGTCATTGTTTCCTAGGTTGCGTGTCGACCTCGTACCATTGGGGTTATTGATTCCTGAGTTGCGTGTCGATTTCGTACAATTATAACGGTAGGAAACCTTGAAGGGGTAAATGGTAATAATGAATTGTCAGTGGGGTTGAACTTTATCGCTGTGAAGTGTAAATGTATAACCTGTAGAAACGGCCAACTGTCATTTAACATCAAATTTGGAACCAAAATTGGAGTACTTCTAGTTCTCAATATAAAACCAAAACATTATTTTTATAAAATGTTTAAAACAATCCGGCCATTACAAATTTAAGACGGAGAGTTTCACCCAAGAACTAAATAAATGTATCTTTATTAAATACTAGTTTAATTTTTTCTTAATAAAGTTATTTATTTATAAATATTAACAATTTATTATATATTATATAAATAAATAAATATTATTATCTAATTTAATTATTTTTATTCATTTAATTCAACTAATATATATTAATTGATCTGAACGATTTCATTAATCTAAATAATAGTTTAAGAATTCCGAATAAAGATTCTTAAAAAAAATTAATTATTTATATTTTCAGCGAATTTCATACACATAATTTTAGAAAAAAAAATTATCTTTTTAATTTCTTAAAAAATGTTCAATTTACTTTTTTCTTTTTTAATTTTTTAACCGGTGTCTCAATGGCACTCCTTAGCATTTTCTAAAAACAATCTTCTGAATATTTTCAGCCTTCACACGAATTTGATGATATTGAGACCTCAAATCTTTCTTACTGAACACACTTGCACCAACCATCAAATCATCAATCCTCGGAAGTGGATACTTATTCTTAATAGTCACATTGTTCAACTGTCTATAGTCCACACAAAGCCTCATAGAACCTTCTTTCTTGTTAACCAACAAAACTGGTGCACCCCACAGTGACACACTCAGACGAATGAATCTCTTCTCAAGCAGATCTTCAAGTTGACTCTTCAACTCTTTCAATTTCGATGCAGACATACGATATGGAGCCATCGATACCGGACTAGTTCTAGAAACTAACTCGATCGCAAACTTCACTTCACGTTCCGACGATAAATCACTTATCTCATCAGGAAAAACTTCTGGAAAATCACAAACAATTGGCAAAACACCAACTTCTCCACCTTCACTAATACTCAAAGTTGCCATCAACATAAACATCTCAGCACCATCCTGCACTGACTCGTTCACTTGCTTAACAGACAAAAATAAGTCTCCTTCATTCTCAGGTTCAAGAAAAATAACCTGTCTTATCAACATAGTTGAACTCCAACCAGCTCATCCCAAGGATAACATCAAGTTGATCTAAGTGTAGACACACTAAATCAACTCCAAAATCCTTACAAAAAATACTCAACGGACATTTCAAACACACATATGAAGTAGTTACCGAACCCATAGCAGGAGTATCAATAATCATACTTCCATTCAAAATAGACAACTCAAGATTTAATCTCTTAACACAATCCAAAGCAATAAAAGAATGTGTAGCTCCAATATCAATTATAGCAATTAAAGGTGTACCATTAATGAAGCACATACCTCTGATCAATCGATCTTCACTAGCAGTCTCAGATCCTGATAGAGAAAACACCTTCCCTTTAGCTTGAGCCTTCTTCGGTTTATCACACTTGGTACTAATGTGCCCTTGCTCACCACAGTTGTAGCAAGTCACATCCGCACCACTCTTGCACTCAAAAGCCTTGTGGTCT